ACTGCCGCTCACGCCTGAAAACACAATGCCAGCAGAGCAGAAAAAACGTTCTCCGGAGGGGATTCGAACCTGCGGACGTACACGCGCCGACTGGGCACTTTACCAGGGTAGCCACGAAGGGTACATGTTAAATTGTGCTTCAGGGGTCGAGCCAATCTACGATGTCTGTGGCTGCCACAGAGATGTGTCCATAAAAACGGGAAAAATGGGCCTGAAATAGTATTCGAACCAGCAACCAGCGATATGCCGGGCCGGCTTGCTACCGATGTATCCACAGAGGAACGACAGTGGGGTACGTTCCGGCGACATTCCCATCTCAGCTGTCGCTGACGCCCATAGACATGACCAGCGGAAGGGGGAAAAAGTTCCTCGGACGGGATTCGATCCCGAGACCAAGGGTGTCTGGGCAGAGCCCCGGCACGCTCGCCACTCGGCTGTCGGCTCCACATGACGAAAGAGAGGTCAGAACTCGGTGCTGCTTTACGGGTGTTGATCTACCGTATTGCACGCGTTCAGGTCGGGTCAAGTCTACCTCCTCGACGCGCTGCAGCCCGGGTCGAAATCCTGGCCAGAAACACGGGAAAACGCCAATAAATGCACGCTCCGCTAAACTAACCTAACCTCCGCGCGCCCGAAGGGCTCATTTGCTGGCTCTTTTCCTTGTTTCTGGCCAGTAGTCGACCCGGGCTGCAGCGCGTCGAGGAGGTGGACTTGACCCGACCTGAACGCGTGCAATACAGGAGACCAAGACTCGTAAAGCGACCGAGTTCTGAACTCTCCGATGGCAAGTGGAGCTGACAGCCGAGTGCCGGGCGCGTTGGTGCGTGGTGCAGAAGGCGCCGTCGGCCCAGGGGTCGAGTACTAGTCGGGGCGAACTTGATTTTTTTTTTTTGGTTTTTTGGTTGGTTTTTTTGCGGGGACGGGGGGGGGGGCTTCTGAGTTGGCGGCCAAGACCACCTTCCCATGTCGGCCGATCTATTGTCCTAACCCTTGGTCCCCGCGCCGCAAACTACTAAATGGGAAAAATGGGCCTCAGTCAGTATTCGAACCCACGACCATCCGCGTCCCGGGCGCGCGCTCTATGAACTGAGCCAATGAGGCTTTTGGGTACATGATGCTTATCTCTGCCGTGGCTCACACCCCGAAACACATGGCCGGCAGAGGGGCAAAAGGGTTCCGTCGACTAGATTCGAACCAGCGAACCAACTACTGACTGTGGAGACGTCCGCTCGTCATCATATATACAGCGCGCAAGTCACTACAGAATAACGACAAATTTACTGGAGGCTGCGCGCGCCGCATGCGATGGCGAGCGGACGCCTCTACAGTCAGGAGTAACTTCGGCCGAGTGGATACAGTGCCAGGTTATCAGCAGAAGGGCGGCGGTTAGACTCCCGCTCGCTTCCGACTGCCTTTCACGTTTTTGCGCAGACACACGCACGCTTGTGATAAATTTGTCGTTCTTTCGTCTTTAATATGTACGATTTCACGACCAAAAAAAAACCACA